CTGAAACTATCAGGGGTCCCAAAAAATATCTGAATTTTAATTCAGGCTGAGAACTGAGAACACAATGAAATTTTATTTGTCTGTTTTAGCATAGATATTGCAAAGGATTTATAAATGGTTGATTTTTGTCTTCAGATTTAAAAACAGCATTTTGTATACTTTGCTGCTATTAGTGTACAGAATAATTTTCATTGTTTGATTGCTGTGTTATAGCTTCAATTTAATGTTTTAAGGTTAATCTTGGACTGGCTTATCACAGGATTTAAATCTCTAGCTGAGAAATTGAATCGTCTCACAGTGAGAGATGCAGTGCCTAAAAAAGGATTATTCAGAACTAAGGGCAATTGTCAAATTTTGAAAAATAAATGCCAAGGGTTAGTTAACTGATATGGACCATGTTGTGAGAAGTGTAACAACATGCAGCCATATGCATTGATGACAATGTTTTTTTTTAAATTAGCCATACACGGAAAGATCATATGAAGCTTTTCAAATATATTTTTCAATCCACCAAGCAGGCCAATTTAGAATCAGCTTAAGTGTCTGAGTGTCTCTTCTCCAAATCGGAGATTAACAATCCGGAATGAATTAATGAAGGTTCTCAGTCATCCAGAGCCTGGTAAATCCAAAAACATAAAAAAACCAAAAACATAAAAAAACAACAACTGGACTTCAGATCTTGCAGATAAAAACCCTTTACTCTTTGTCTGAACAGCTTCATAAGCTGACGAGGGAGCAGTTCAAAGCTTAAAGCCGTGCTTAAATACTGCTTCCACACATTTGAAATGGACCACCACTACTGGCACTTAATACTGGAATAACTCACTGGGGGAGTGTGTCTTAAGGGCCATGGAAGTGCCATAGGTTACTGTCCAGTGTCCACAACATTCACCTTGAATTTACCCCTCGTTTGTTTGAGAGATTGGAACCATTTAACAGGGATGTACTTGATGTCACATCTGCAGAAACAACATGAGCACTTCCAACCCAGAGTCTGTTCAGCGATTATAGATGCATCAGCGATGAACTGCTGACGTGTCAGTCTCCTCATCAATGTATTTGTCATAAAGGGTAAAAAAAAGGCTATTTCAAAGATAATTTTCTGTAAAAACTTACAAAGAGACTTTTTAATCTCTCGCGGTAAGCCAGTCATTTATTTAAATCCTTTTTCTTTAAATCTCAATCATATATTTTTTCTTGATGTGATATACTTTAAAAATTAAACTTTAAAGCAGTGGTTACATTTGGTGATCATTTCTTTAACAGCTGTTTTATTAAATTACCTTATGGTTATGCTACATTTTCTTTTTTTTCTGATGCCCTTGAAGCACTTTAGATTGGCTTTGGGTATCAATGCCAAAAAAAAAAAAAAAAAAAAAAAAAATATATATATATATATATATATATATATATATATATATATATATATATATATA